TAGCCACATTTTTAGGTAAGGTGGTTATTTTTATTTTGCTTATAAATACAGTGACAGGACCAAAGTCCAGGTACGTTCTCTTTATGCTCTAGAGATCCTGAATAATATTTCAGAGCAGTACCATAATTACTCTCTGGAGAGCTGAGGCTCCATAATTCACATCTGACTTGAGCGTCGGAGTATCTTTGCAGGTACCTCCCCCTCCTTTGGCGAGTATGAATAGCAACAATTGGAGAAGAGCAAGCGTCCCAAACAGCGTCCCAGACAGCCAGGAGCAATAAAGACACACCGGACAAATGTACACCGAAACAATATATATATATATATATATATGCCAAAATCTTAAGAATTTATCATGTAGTAAAAAAACGAATATGAATATAATGAAAATGTTGGATTATCAATTTATCATTTAACTGTCGAAAGTTTCTCAATTTTGTGTACTTGTTAAAGTTCCTCAATTAGTAAAATATTAAAAACTTAGAAAAGAAAAAAGAAAAAGGTTGGCTACAAACTTACATACCAAAATCTATACTGTTGAGCCAGACTATTAAGCTTACATTTTCAAATTAAGATAGACTAGCTCCTATTTTGTCAGGCAAACTATTTGTAAAAGTTGTACCAAAATTAACTTCAACTTAAAAGGTTATAAATCAAAATCATGTCATATTGATAAAACTTTAACTTTAAAAATATTTTAGATTAAAATTGTGTAATTGTAGCATAATTTTCTCATAATGAAATCATATTATCTAGGTACGATTTATTCGTATTTACAATTTTTTTTAATTGTTTATTTTTGTAAATTTAAAAAAGAATTACGGTAGTTTGGTAAAAAAAAAATCAAGTTTAATAAAATTAATTTAAAACAATTGATTTTGTCTTAAATATATAAGTTTTTATTTTGCATTGTATGTTAATATTTAAAAGTTATTTATTAAAACATATTTTATATAACAACAATATATTTATAGTAAAATTATTAATTTGAAATATTTATTATAAAATATAATATAAATTTCATATTTTTTAACATTTATATATTATATTATAAAATTAAAATGAATGATATTCATCCATTTACAGTAATCTCACACATTTTAATTACTTACCCTTTTTCTTTTATGTAGCTATACAGATTTTATTTTAAATTGTGTCATCTTCTTATAGTTGTTTTGTATGCATATAACTCTATTTTATCGTGATATATCATGAAAAATTGATCAACTTGTTGTCGTGAAATAATAGTTTTTTGTTTTGTTTTGAAATTTGAGCAGACTAAAATAACTTATTTTATAATTTATATAATTTAAGAGAAATTTCTATTAAAAAAATAGAACTAGATAACAAGATATCCTAAAGTTCAATTAATCAATTTGTATTTGTAAACGAGTTATTTTATTGCTATGAAAAGATTTGATTTGATTTAATTTATTTGAAATAAAACTAAATAAATAAAAGTAATACTGAATTAACTTTTATTAAAATTTAAAAATTAAAAAAATACCACACACAACATTTTTTAAGTAAGGCAGAATAAATTATTCTTTTCTGATTTAAAATGTTATCTATATGTATCTGATTAAGTTTGATATTATGTGATAACATCTATAATTTTAAGTATACATCCAAAATAAAATAATTTAACACATGCATTAAAATAAAATAAAAAAATTGGTAGATTTATTTGTTTAGAAAAGAAAATTATTATGAGTTACAGTACTTAACACAGTTTTGAATTGTCTTGTGGTTTGGGTTTTAACATTGATTCATATGGCAATCCTGAAACTCAAACTAATTAGTTGATGGGATAATTGTTGATTAAGATATTGTAATGGAATATAAGTTATTTTTTATCATCTTAACATCCAAATTACAAGAGCTTTTCTTTTAACTTACAAAAAATTCTCTGATCTAAGAGATAAAAGCTAAAAGGGACCTATAATACTTTTTTATTCTAAAATCAATATCAATATTTTTATATTAAATTTATTAAAATAATATCTTTAAAGGAAACATCATTCATTTTAAAACTTTAGATTTTTTTTGTCTTTAAAAACAAAGTATAATAGTAATGATATTTAATTAAAAGATTAATGACTAGTTAAATTAATCTCTCAAATATTAAATACGAGAAGAAGAAGAAAAAACAATAATAATTTTGTATTGAAGGGGATGGAAGAACCGCAAAGAGTTATTGAAGTTGTCGAGAGAAACACGTATGCTCTGAAGATGGACCGCTTATTTTGCCATACAATAAAAAACCCTTGGGAAAGTTCGAGAAGTCAATTAAGGTCCGTTGAGAAAATACCTTCCCCAGTTACGCAATTTCTGTAAAAACCTTCTATATGCGTGTGAAAATCATCAATAACAAGGTGCACATCAAATGTGTTCAACCGTTTGGTGTGTTTGTATTCCATGCATGAATTATGACCATGGAAAAACTTATTACAAAGATGGTGTGCAAAAATATATAAATATGGCATTGAGAATATCATCTTGTAATTTACATTTCATTTTTGGACTTCTACTATTATCACTAAGCATACATTGAATAGATAAATGTAAAAAAACATAACTTTTATAACCTGCACACATAGCAAACTTTTTCTGTAAGTGTAACATTTATTTATTTCTGATGTGACTAATACATTGCTGGGTCTGTTCATAAGTTTACTTTATATTTATATTTAAAATTTAAATAAGTTTCTAGGACTAAAAATTTATATTAAAAGTGTAAGTAATAAATGTAAATAAATAACTTCATATTCAAAAGGCATCCATTATACATGATAATCATTTATCTTTCAAAATATATAGATAAAGAAAATTCTTGCACAAATGTCTTTTTTTCACCCATATCAAACATTATATCATTCCTATTTATTATTATTTTTGTATTATATTATATCATGTTTCGAAAAAGAGAAAATGTGAATTTATTTAGATACTTTTTGTTTAAAAATTCATATATCAGATTACATTTTCCTTAAAAAAAAGGTGAGCTATGCATAACTTAGTGAATTCAGTATAATATGACTAAGTTTACTTTAATATTTTTAAAGAAAATAATAAATAGTATTTTGAACTCAACAACTTATTAATTATATATATATATATGGAAGGTTGTGATTATACATTTAAATGAATTTGTTAATGTATGATTGCACAATTTGAAAAAGTAATTTCATTTTCATTTAATCAATCACATAATTTACAATAATCATTTATCGGACTTTAATTTTCTTAATAAAATAATTATAAAATTTAACTATAGATTTCTCTCTGCCAAGAAATGGGTTTTCTCTTTTTCTAATCTGACACATTATATTGTAACATTTATTATATTATTATATAAGAGAGGAAAGAAGGAAAACACGTATATAATATATGGAAAAAAAAAAGAAAAAGAAAAAAAACCACTCTGCATATATTGTACACCAAGCCGCACCTAATGCTAAGTCATCTTGATCATAAAACATTTTTTATCTTTTATCTTTTTTTTTGTCTCTGGTTTTGGGAAGGACTGATATGGAGAAGAAAAGGTGGAGAATGATTCCCCTTAATTTGGTGGAGAGAGGGAAAGGGAAAGGGATGATTATTATAGTAGTCACTACAAGTTTTTGTGAAATTGCTGAAATGGTTGAATAGCAAATGATGTATCAATCTGGAAAGAGGGTGGCGATGGTGCAGCAGCAGCCTTGAGTTCCTTATACCTGTCAATGTCAAAATTGTGAAGTTTCATTAGACGCTTCTGCTTGCTGGTGAAACGGCTTTGGTAGAAGCCTTCAAAGCAAGGCTCTTTGGAGGTTCTGACGAAGAAGGTGTAGCCAGCCATGAAGTACATGGAAGTAACATAGAAGCATATTGGTTCCATCACATCCCAAGATAGTTCCCAAAATGTGAGTCTCATGAATCCTAATGTCTGTGCCACTAGGAACCCCAACCCAGCCCACAGTTCCCGTCGAACCAACGTGTTCGCTCTCTCGTCAATTGCTGCTTTTACTTTCTCCATTTCTTCCAACTCTTTTCTTTCTGACTCAATAGTCCTTGCTCCTGCTAGAGGTAGGATAGACTGAATGGTTTTTGCTACCTGTAACAAATTTTACTGAATTTGGGTAACATGGTTCTATTTTCACTTCTTTTTAATCTTACACTACTTGGATGGGATCGAATAAATATTTTACTTCAATAAAATCACATCAAAATAAAAGGATAAATAAAATAGTCAAAAATAGTAAATGTATAGAAAACAGGTTTTGACCTACAATTATACAATTAGAAGTAAGGTTTAGAAGAATTACTTAGTCGAGTCACTATTCACGGAAGTGATCTGAACATATTCAATTCAAAACCTTAACTACAAGTTAAGACGGCATATTCCTTGCACCCAAAAGATTACATCCACTACCTAAGTGGACTTCAAAGTTTAATGTTTTATATTCAATCATATAGCATTTTTATTCTTATCCTATTTTTTTTTCATAAGAATATTACATGTTGATTAATGATATGTTAAAAAATAAAATTTTAGCTAGAGTTGTCATTAAATTTAATCTTCACTTGTGTCAAACTATTAGGTACATTGCCAAATTTAGGATATATAAAATCTTAATTATCCAAAACTATCAATGCATTAATACGATCAAATCATTCTTCATAGAAACATAATAATAAAAATTTCAAAAAGTTTCGTTTTACCTGTTAACGACGTGATTATCTGATAACATTTAATAGAAGTTTTATTTATGATTTTAAAATGTTACCTTTCATATTATCTTACTATTTTCCTGATGACATAAATTTCATATTAACATCTCAGATTTCTATAAAATGCTGCCTATCTACTTGCACTGGAAAGTAACTCCTTTTGCACAATCCACCTAACATAAAAGACAAAGCACTATGCTAGCACAAAGCATATTCTAACACAAAGCATATGCTTAATAGCCTAATGCACATTACTTCTATCCTCAGTTAATTTTTATGTTATAGTACTATTTTCTTGATGCATAAATTCGTTTTGTAAACATCCCAATTCCTAGAAACTATGAAAATAGCTGCCCCACCACTTGCCCCGGGAATAAAGGGCTCATTTCCCATAAATGCACCGCCCCTAAATGTCAATAATACTAAAAAGCATGATGATAAGTTTTTTCATCCTACTGTAAGATTATTTGATACATAAAATCTGATAAGTTTAATTTAATCTTCTCTAAGGTACAAACTTATTAAAGAAAGATTTTATAATTAAAAATTAAAAGTTAAATCAAAGGTTTTAAATCACACTTTCAAAGTAATTATATAACACTTTCAAAACATTTCTTTTTCAAATAAAGAAATAAAGTTTAAACTAAGGCTAATAACATGAAACACGTCTCAGTACAAAACATCAGACTGTTTAAAAGAAATTGTATTAGTATTTATCTTTTCATGTATGAAAATAATTTATAATTATCATTTTTAGGAGACATATAAGAAATAATTACAGAACCTACCAAATATTGTATTTTTCTGGCAAGCAATTATTATAGTTTTGTGCTGCCCTGCAATTATTATTGTAGTTTAATTCCTACCATTATTCAATACATGTATAGGAAAGACAAACTTTTTAATTACTTAAATAATGAAATTATTGCACTCTGCATAATAACCTGCCAGTCTGTCACTGTCATCTCTTCCAAAAAATAGTGAACTTTATAAAAATAAAAAAGTAAATCTCGAGAAACGTTTTCTATAATAGATGATGCCGGAATCTATGCTCCGGCCATCTACAAGATAGGTTAAAAAACGATTTAAAATAAATTTAAGGCAAACTAAAGTATAAATTTAATAATAATAATAATAATAGATATTGCATCATTTTATATATTGTTATTCACTCATATACTAATACTAATAATAATAATAAAAATAAAAAATATCTTTTCAGTAAAATTGATTTTTGTTGAGCAATCAATCAAAAAGTTGTTTATCAAAACATCACTTTCCATGGGATTGGATCCCAATAAATAAACGGGCAAATCTCGCTTTCAGTCACGGTGCTAGATTGGTTATGCATTTGAAAATCTTCAAATCATAGTTTAGATACAAATTATAATAATTTGTATCCAAATCATAAATTTAGAATTTTTCAAATAGAAAACCAAAAGCCCTGTCCTCAGTATCAGTAAAAAAAATTGAAAAATTCTCCCAAAAGAATGAGGAAGAAGGGTATGAAAGCAGAAGGGCTTTTCGCGGGTCCGTTAAAAAGCCCCCAAATTTACCATCTCAAAGGTAGAATCCCTTTACACGTTTGATTACAACAAACTTTCAATTTCCTGTGGAAAAACACAAATCACCACAAAACCTTATCAGTTCTCGGTCGTTTTCAAAACAAACTCTCCCTAACATTGAATCAGAAAAAAAAAACTATACGCGGATAGATAGAAAGCCAGAAACCTATCTGGGATCTTAATTTCATAATCTCCACCACCACTCTCTCTGTGTCAGCCCACACATCAAAAACACAACCCAACAGAGCAAAACAAACAAACAAACAAAAACTAAATTAAAGCATAAATTAAAATAAAAAGACGGAGAAGAAATTAACCTGTTCAGGTCGGAGGAAAACGACATCGCCTAAGATGATAACAGAGGCTGAATCGTCCAGCATCTGCGCGATGCTCCTCGCTTGCTCCGGATCGGAGCAACCCTCCACGCACATTCGCATGAAATCCGAGTAAGGTATGCAACTCTCCGGAATTTTCCGTAACTTGGATTTCACTGTTTCTATTTGAATGGCTCTGAGCACCTTCCTCACATCTTTGGCCCCCACTTCTTGTTTTTCCGGTGGAGTGAGTCCGTCCAACCGGATCCGGCTCCGTGCAATGTCCATCTCCCGGAGGCGGTGGAGGATGGATCCGGCAGCCGGCTGTCGAAGCTCCGAGGAGAAGACTGGCCTCTTGTGGAGGAAGCGGCGGAAGATTCCGCTATCTCCGGGATCCGGGGCAATGTCAGGTTTGGCCGGATTGGGAGAACGAACGGAGGAGGAAATGCGGTAATTGGAGATTTTGGTGATGTTGAGGAGGCGCTGGGCTAGGGTTTTCTTAAAAGCCATGGTTGAATAGAGAGAAAAAAGGAATGGTGTCGTTTAGATGGGTTGAAGTGAAAGAGGTGTGGGGGAAGTTTATTTATAGGTGCCCTATAAGAGCGGAAGTGCTCGATTTATGCGTTTTTGCGTAATATGGCATGTTGTAAATGACTTATTGAGATAACGTTGGTGAGATATGTCGTGAGAAATTGGAAGCGATCTCGTGGCGATATTTTGAATTGTTAGAACGTGGATATGTATCTTTGCGCGATGGTGATGTCAATGTGGTTGAATGGGGAGAAAGGTGGAAAAATATTCGGCAGGCCAAGAAGAGACCCGATAAATTGAAAATGAAATGAAAGATGAGTGGTGTACACGTGTTTGGATGAGGTGTGAAGACTAGGTCGATTGCGATTATGAGCCGTGTGATTTTGTAAATAATAGATTTTATTTATGTTAGGATCATAGCGAGAGCGGGTTTCGCTTGTGGGGGTTGGTTCGTGGTGGCTATGTGGGGATGCTGACTCAGTGTGAGCCTGGACAGGCTGGGCGTGCAAATTAAGATGTAGTTTATTATTTTATTTTTGGAATTAAAATAAATTAGACATCGTTATCTGGTTATTACAAATAAAGATAATTGAGATTACTTGAATGCTAAAATAGGCATGCTTTGCATGAGAGGGGTCAAAACCACAAACCCAGGATCAATTAGCTGGAGTCACTGTTACGCAAACATTGAAATGAATCAAGTGTTGCGTTCACGCAAATCTCTTTCATCTCCCCCACTTTGTTCATTCAATCTGTCCATCTATTTAGCTTTCCTTCTTAACCCATTTTAATTTGCTTTAATGTGTATTATTCATCCCTGTCCAGGATTATTATTAATTAATCACATTGCACAATTATTATGATTTTCATATATTTTAGTTGTAGAGTTGCATAAGCTTAAAAATCTTCTTTTATATGCTGAATATTAATATCTTTTCGAGTATGGTCGTGTTCGTTCGCTCTCATATTGAAGGATTGTGTATCTTTTCAATTTGAAATCTTATCGTGTGTTTGTCACATTATTATGTGCCTTTCAACTTTGGTATCTTATTATGTTCTTTCATATTCGACAAACTCCATTCATAATTGTATTTTATGTATTCTATCTATTAACTGAAAGGAAATAAACTTTTTCTTTCTTTTATAAATGTTTTTTAATACTATTTTTTAATTAGGTTTTTTTATTTTTACAAAAGAATAAAATTTCATTATGTATGTTTTTCTTATGTAAGATCGAGGTCCACGTTTAATTTCTTTGTGATAGTTTAAATCATCTAAATATTCTTCTTTCCTTCTAATATGCACTGATCGTTTGTCCTATATTATTTGGATAACATTTGTGGATGTTACAGTTAAGATATGTCATTTAGGTATTATTATAATTTGTGCAAATGTCATTCTTTTAATAAATGAGGAATAATAGAATCCATGTATGATAAACTAATATCTGAAATAATACATTAGAATTATTCTTTTTTCATTGAATATTTTTTATGGCTTCTTCCGATAAAAATCAACTAGAGAAACATAATTCTAAAACTTTCACGGCTTCCAACAGTCATATTTCTATTGTTGCCAGATTTGTGACTAAGTCAGGTATATCTAACTATGTCCTTAATCTTTTTTTTGTTACTAGGGGTAGTGATTGGATAATTAATTCAGGTGCTACTGATCAAATGACCTGTGATCCTCATATATTTACTAATTTTTCCCTTAATTATTCTAAAATTGTTATTATTAATGACAATGGGGTCTCGTCTCCTATTGAAGGTGTAGGTATTATATCCCTCTCACCCTCCTTATTGATTCTTGATGTTTTATTTGTTCCTACATTGAATTGTAATCTTATCTCCGTCAGCAAGTTAATCAAATCACATTCTTGTGTTGTCTTGTTTTATCCAACCCATTGTCTTTTTTAGAACATCCATTCCAAAGAGAAGATTGTTAGTGGTAGAAAGAGTGAAGGACTATATTATCTTGAAAATGTCGCACAAAAAACCCATAAAAGAGCATTGGTGTGTCCTGCGAATGAATGCATACAAGATAAAAACAAAAAGTACATTTAGTTATGGCATAGACGGTTGGGACATCCCTCTTTTGGTTATTTAAAAAAATTATTTTCATCATTATTTCATAAATGCAATATTTCTAATTTTCTTTGTGAAACTTGTGTTATGGCAAAAAATCATCGTGTTGTGTTTCCTTTAAGCAATAAAAAAATTGATTTTCCTTTTTCATTAGTTCACACATATGTTTGGGGTCCTGCCCTACAATTTACACATAACGGAAAAAAAAATGATTTATCAATTTTGTTGATGATTGTACTAGGATAACTTGAGTGTTTTTTTCTTAAACATAAAAGTGATGTGTGTGATGTGGTTCGTTCCTTCCATCATATGATCGTTACATAATTTAACACATCTATTAAGATCATTCGATCAGACAATGGAGGAGAATATTTTAAGACTGAATTAATAGAGTTCATGAACTCTAAAGGCATCTTGCATCAAACTACATGTCCTTATTCACCACAACAAAATGGAGTGTGTAAGTTGAAAAATAGAATTATATTAGAGGTGATAATATCTCTTTTGATAGATGGTAATATCCCATCTCATCTGTGGGGTGAGGTTGTGAGCTCTACAATTTATTTAATTAATCGAACCTCTTCAAATGTGCTTAACTTTCGAAGACCTTTAAATATATTGTCTGATCATTGTATCCTTCCTTCCATAGTTTATTCACCCATTTATGTTTTTGGATGTGTTATATATGTTCACTTACACCCACATCAACGTACAAAACTTGAAGAACCAACTATGAAATGTGTTTTTGTTGGGTATGGATCAACTCAAAAAGGTTATCGTGCTTACCATCCACCATCAAGAAAATTTTATATTTCTATGGATGTGACATTTAATGAGCATGAATTTTTTTATGTTGATTCTCCACTTCAGAGAGACAATGAAAGTGAAGTGCATAATCATGATGTTAGTATGTTTGATATCTCAGATATAAAATTATATTGTGAAGACAAATTATCATGTGAGGATCATTCTGCAGGAAGTGAACCAATCCTAAATATGGATACTTCTATTTTGGATAATACAGTGTCTTCTGATCATAACCAATTGGCTCAATCTTATCCACATGTTTGAATTGACTCTTCAGAGGTACCTACTAATATTATCTTTGATAATACTAATGTAGATGAAACTAATCATGAACTTATTTCTCTTGATCCTATCCTTGATAATAATAATTTAGATGAAACTGATCATGAAATTGATTCTTTTCTGCGTGAAACTACCAGTGCACCAAACACTAAGTCTACTACTATTCAATATAATCTTCCACCCTGTTCTAACCGTGGTTAACCTCCTGCTAAATATGAAAACCTCCAAGTATGTGTCATCTCACAGGTTATCCTAGTCATATGTAGGGATGACAAAAAAATCCGCAGCCGCCGCGACAGATAGTTGGTACCCGCGGATATTGTCAGAACCATTAAAACCCACTAAAAAAACCCATCATAGTGGATTACAAGTGTCAAGGAAGGAATGTCTGAAAATCGGATAGTGGAAGACAGGTGTGTGATGCATATTAGACGTTCGGTTTTGACAGTAGGAGTAAAACTCTCAGTTTTCAAAAGTTCACGCCACTTTTACATGCACCATTCTTCCCCAAAGTTCTGAACTTTCATTTTCTCCTCCTTCTCTCTAGATTTCTTCATCTTCTCTCTAAGAAATCTTACTCTTTTCTTCTTTCAATTATCAAACAGACCACACCTTAGCACTTCCGGCGTCGAGGGTGAACTGATCAGTTTTTGATTTCGAGTTGGTAAGTTCATCTCTCCCTCAGCCGTGTGTTTTCTGTCGCATGCAAACCCAAATTTTTGGATGCATGGGTTTATCCTCTCATTCTGAGTATTTCTGGTCTTGTGTTTGATTTAGTTTCTTAAAGCGTGCCTGTAGAACGCTAAGGTCTCTGGTAGAGGTGAACCATATTCTGCATCTGTGAGCGTTTGACTACTCTTAGAGGTAAGGAAAGCTTATTTAATTTAATTTTATTCTTACTAGGAATGGTGACATGTTTGTGTGAATATTGGATGAATATGAAGTATGATTGTTACTATGTTTTGGCTGTATAAGTGTATGAAGATAAATGCTGAGGAATGTATTAATAAGAGTATGAATTCTAAGTCTGTATTTCTATGTGAAAATTGATGTTCGTCACTGAAGGTCATTGACCGTTCGGTTTTCTTGTGGACTCGGTTGGAACTAGATTCTTTCATTTGGAGAGAATTCTAGTTGAGGACGAGCGTCTTCGTTTTGTAATATTTGTACATGAGCGTTCGGTCAAGGGTAGTCGTTCCTTGGTATTTGGTTATAAACTTTAGTATATCTATATGTATTTGTATATTTCGTTCGTTCTTGAACAGTAGTTAAATGATATCTTATATTTATTAAGCCTTTATTCTATAATTTTAGTAGTGCTCGGTCTTACACCAAGTACTCGTACTAAGTGGTGCTCGGTCTTAAACCAAGCGCTCAACCTTGATTCCTTAAAACTAATTTTTAAAATAAGAGAATTCGGCCCAACCCAATAGCGTTCGGTTTCTACAGTGCTTGGTATTCGACTAGCATTCATTTCCTTGATATTAAGCTCATAAATATGCTAAGTATTTATAGCGGTCGGTTTCTTCATATATTTCCATCAATTATTATTATTTGATGTTCTACAGTATCAGTTTCTATGGTGTTCGGCCTAGAGTCTTAGTACTCGGCCTAGGCTTATTGGCGTTCGGTCTAAACTCTCATGAGTCAGTTCATTAAATTGGCTCAGCTTGTAAATAACGTTCGATTCTATTAGTCTTTGAGAGGTATTATTGTAATTGGTCTCTTTCACAACCTTGTTAGTAACTCTCTTGATCTGTTTCGGAACTGGAGACCTCTCGGTCTCACTCCAAGTGTTCGGTCTCGTTCGGGGTTGAAGATTAATGTTCGGTATTCGGTATCCTATGTGATATGTATTGAAATTGGTTCGATTTGAG